ACTTTTTAATAAACAACGAGCGACGGCTAAAATATCACATTCTATTTAAACTTATACTATCCCTATGTAATTACATATTAATTAACCTTGAGAGGGCCAGAAAGCCACTTAAGTGGCTCAAAAAATTTTTTTCCAATTTTTGTTTGAAAATATGTATCCAAGTATTTTTAACGTCTCTGATGAAGAATCCGTTATTATATTTTCGGATAAATCCAATCAAAATGTTCCCTGATAACACTTATAATCCTGCGCAGTAAATCATAAAATTAGCTGCATAGTAAGTTTATAAACAATGAATATCATAGTTGATGACCATGAACACGTTATCAGATTTACATAATTTGAAATTGGTGTCAAAACGACATAGCTTGACAATATTGATAAAAAAAAATTTTCTTGACAATATTGATAAAAAAGATTTTTAGCATAACTGTTTCCCAAATTTGTCTTGTTTTCTCATTTTTGTAGAGCCGTCTTGAGCTGTCATTTTGAAATATCAAAATATGATAGAGGGTTCGTAATCAACAATTTGAAAAACCCTAAGTACATATTTTTAGCAATATTATCCTGCATTTTTTGAGAAATGTATATATAATAAAAGGGAATAAATGGAAACGCGCGCTTTGCGTTGTATAGTTTCAGTAAAAACGCAATAAATATTAAAAAATACATCTCTGCACTAGCTAAGCTCAAATTGTAATATTTCACTCAATTTCTTACTCAAAATACATCAAAAGTGAATATATATTCATCAATATTGATTTTCAACCACTCTTTGCTGGGATTACATACAAAACATCCTTAAATAGGTCGCAATATATCTCTCGAAAAAAGTCGCATATTGTTTGTCGGACATGTTTAAATGTCCATTTGGTATCGATTAAATTACTTTGCTCGTCCGATTGCAAGGTGTCTTTCTTCTCGAGTGCACTCGAGTTCCCTTCTCCTCGACTTTATCACGAAATCTCCCGCCTCACCAACACCTTATACCTTCCCCCAAACTGTATCGCGATTCATATAAGATTATTAAAAATCCTCTATCAACGGCATCGCAAACGCGCACGTGCGTACGTGAGAAAGAAAGAGAGGGACATGTGTAATTAATTTTCATCCAACATCGCTTTTATTTCATTCGCAACGAAGAAATCGAAAGACAGCTGTACGTACCGTTCTTTGAGCAAAAAAATATAATATTTAATTTTCTGTCAGATTTCATCATCATAAACTTCTTATTGATGCTTTCTATATTTCCTTGTCTCTGCTATTAATTGTCTCATAATTTATTTATCTTATGCTATTAATTGTCTATAAATATAATTTAATTATCTTACGCTATTAATTATCTATAAATAACAATCACACTTTCAGGAACTTTTCTAAAATGTTTGAGACGTTATTATATTATAATTTTTTATATTATTATTATTTTACTTTATATTATTATTATTTTACTTATATTATTATTTTTTATATTATTATTTTACTCTGGTTTGAGAATAAAAATTTGAAGTTTGGAATCATTCTATCTTCGGATCTTGGCGTATCTCAATCTTATGATAGAAAATCGAACATGAAGATTTTGTTTCGAATGCAATCTCTCGGAGAACTTCCTTCCGGCGCCGTGCGCATCTTTATCCCAAAATCTCCCGCCCTCGGTTGGTCGGCAGGCACCTTGCGGCTCCTCTCGTTATGCTTTCGTAGACGGATGCCACGCGCGCCGAGTCTGGGCCCGTTCCGTTCCGAGGGGTAGGTCCCCGAGGGAGATGGATATCGCTAATTGTCTCAAGGCGAGTGGGCCTTGTGATGGTAACAGCACGCGACCGTTGTATTCTACTGCCTTTTCCCTCCCTTTCCTCCTTCTGTCGATCTTCTATTCGCATCATCCGCTTTTACAATTCCTCTATTTACAAGATGTTCAATCGACCGCGTATCGATATTGATTGATCATGCTCGGATATTCTTGATATTTTATGAACGTTATATCGCCACGTATTTGTGTCAGGTATTATGATAAGAATAATTGACAATAATCCAGAATAAATGAAAATAAATAATGATTATTAGAAGAAGAAAACATACATTAAATTATTCAATGATATGTTATTTAAAATCGTGTAAAATGAAAATTATATACAGATATAATTTTCATTTTAAAATTCGAAATTTTGATAAAAATGAAACATCCTTTATGTATATACAGGGTGTCCCAGACTTAACAAATCAACTGTTAATGGTAGATTCCTGAGATCATTTGGAAACAAAAATCTTAATACCAAAATGTTGAAGAAGATGTAGTTTCGGCGATATCGATAGAGAGATCAATATAAAATAAAAAAATAGAATTCTGCAGTGAAGGCGATTGTGTCTTCGATGCGACAGTAGTCAGTAGTTTGAACATTTTTATGAAGTCTTCCTCGACATTTTAATATTAGAATTTTCGTCTTCAAATGATCTCAGGAATCTGCTATTGATGGCTGATTCGTTAAGTCTGGAACATCCTGTATATTCTATCTATATCAGCTGTTCATATTTTATCTCTTTCAGAATTTAAAAACTATTCAATTTTATCAAAATATCCTCTCTCTTTTTACTTGTCGCTGTCTTTTTGATTTTGCGATAAAAACTTGAGGAAACATCGATTATTTTGAAAAATTCGATTTTATCTGATATGACAATATTATACAATTAATTATATGAAAATAATTGATAGAATCTAATATTTTAATTTAATAGGATATTAATCCTATCTTTCTTAGAAATAATAAATTCAAACAAATCGAGGCAAAAATACATAAAATCATAAAATACATAAAATTGTATTTAATCACTTTAAGGATGTTATGTACAATCTCAGCAAAAAGTAGCTGAAAATCAATATTGACGAATATATCCACTTTTGATGTATTTTGAGTATGAAACATTGTATGAAATATCAATTTGATCTTAGCTACAATGCAGAGATGTATTTTTTAATATTTATTGCGTTTTTACTCAAATATTTCGAATTTTGTTAATCGAAATGATTAACTTTTGTCAGAGAATTTCGTCTTGTGACAGATACATGGCTTCATTGAATAATATTTAATATCTTTTTAACCAGTTAGTAATTGTATAATATTATTTGATCAAATATTTCCTCTGTATCTAAACTTTTGCAAATTTTAAACAAATTCTGAATATTATTTCCATGTGTTTTTATCATTTGAATCGACGTAATTACGTTTCCCATAAGAACACATGTTAATTCGGTGCAAATTAAAATCCTTATAACTTGTGATCGCTTTAGTAAATCGATTTAAAAATTGTACTGAAGATTCTAAACATATGTAAGGACATTTTGTACAATTTTCATTAAATTCTCAATATAATAATTTAATTTTTTATATAATAATTTTTGAAAGTAGATACAAAACATCCTTAATATTTATCAAAGTTTCCTGTACGAATCAAAAATTCTAACGCTAGATTACATTTTTATGTAACATCGATTTATCGATTTATCGACCTATGCGATCGTTTGAAAAGGAAAATCTTAATTAGCAAAGGATCGTAATTGAAAACCTGCAATCGTACGCTATTTTAGTCTATATATTTTCAGATTATAAAGGACGAGAAACCGCGTTTGCGAGGATCGTGATGCCCGGTTTCCTCTTCCCGTCGCGGTTCATCTTCGTTGTTCTTTTCATACTGCCTACACACAAATGTGGCGAATATAATACACATATAGTTATTACACGTGGCGTGGTTTCTATTGTGAAGGCATCTGTCGTTCCGCCATCGGTCGTCGTGACGAACCAAACGCTGACAGCGGAGGAAGAAAAAAGGCGGGAAATCGGAAATTAAAAATTAATTACACACTGCCGCAGTACTTTGTCATCGGATCAACGTCGGAAAACTCATAAGAAGAAGTATCTGCGATATTGTAATGGAGTAAGTATTCGACAAGTTCAACAATTATTTTCGGATGAAAAACTCGACACGCCTTTCAATCAACTTCTAATCAACGTTGCATAAAGACAAATAATTACCGATATTATTTTGTCAATTTTCGCTCTTCTTACATCTTTGCTACATCTGTAGCGATAATAAATAGAACATATTTGAAAATCGGCGCATTTCTTTCTCTTTTTGTTTAAGGCCACCGACCGCTTTTTGGCGAACCGCGGTGGCTCGCAGCGCGGGCGTGTCTGTGGAGCGGTCATCGGACAACCTGAGGAGAAGAGGGGTGCAGAAGGAAGCCGAATGAGCCGCTGCCAGGTGTACGCATCGTTTATATGGATAGGTAGAAAACAAGGTGGGTACCATATGTTGATCTGCTGACGGACGCTCCGGCACGCGCCGAGCGCACTTAAACTCGAGCCTTTACACCGCGAGGATCGGACCTATCGGTGTCCACCCTGGTGCCCTTTTACCGATCCGACTCGACGAGCGTCTCTGACAGTCTTCACTCTCGACGCTTCTTTTTCACGAGACCCGCGAGATAAAAAAATTGGAAGTGAACGGAGGAAGATTATCAATGAAGAGATTAACGCGAGAGAAGTCGATCGGATTTCACGTAGGAGGTGGTGTGCCAGATAATAAATTTGACATTTGACATTTCTATTCTATTTTATATCTCATTAAAAATACGGTCATAATTTAATTGGACGAGCAAATACGACAATAATTTTGCGATAAAAGGCCAAAAAGAGAGACCAAATAAATGTGAAATTATTTACCGCGATGTATATTAAGACTAGCGCTAGAAACATATTTTTCTGATACCTAAATGCCATTACTTGGTTGCGTGAAAAATTCAACAGAATGTGAATCAGCAGTGATGGATGGTGCTCTGATTCTTTCCTCAGCGGGACATCAAGAAAATTTGAAGATTGCAGAAAAATCATGAAAATTCGCTCATGTGAAAGGTATTTCCTCGCCTTTTGCTACGAACCCCATTTAATGAAACAACTTTGACGAAGCATTCTCGCTGAATCGACTTAAAACGCCAATCTACAATCATGGCCCTGCTGTCGAATCATCACTGCAATTACCAGAACACGCAGTCCGAGATGCTGACACCCACGTACGCCAATTCAGCGGGGAGCTACGACCCTCTGTATCCGTCACCGTACAACTCACCCAGCTACGATTCCACCAGAATCGCGTATAGAGATAATTGCACGCACGAGAACGAACTTACGCCGCGAAGGGAGGTCGAGACGCTGGATTACACCAAGGACGTAGTGCCGGAATACACGAAGACCCCGGAGGGATACGATCGAGGAGCTTATGGCGTCCTGACGCCTGTCACCCCGCAGAGGTAATCACTGTAGATTCTATCGGGAGGTTTGTTAGGAGAGGAAATTTCGCGCAGAAATCGTCATTCTCTCGGAAATTTGTTAGATACGAGCCGCCGCATTCGATGGATCAGACAAGATCGCCGCGATCGATGTTGTACGAGGAAAGTTCGATGAACTATCATACCCCATCCTACTGCTACGAGACTCCTCCGCAGGAACCGAGGTATCAGCCCCTGGAGAATAGCAAACCAATCATCACGATCGTAGAATCTCGCGCCAGTTGCTGGGAACCCATCATCTCGACGCAGGTAACTATTAATTTATTAATTTATTAATTCGAATTATAAAACTTAATAAATTAATTAATTATAAAACTTAACAAAACGATCAATTATATCATTCTGATAGGAACTAAGTAATTTTTCGCTAATAAAGACATCAGTCGCTGTATTTTAAATACTATTTTATATTTTATTAACACTATTTTATTTTATATTATTATTTCGAATAAAAATATTTCATACGTGCATTGTACAAGAATAATTTTTATTTTAAAAATACTTCTCTTTCTTTTTTAATTATTATATACAAGTAATTTTTAAAAAGAAGAAAATAAAATTTTTAAGAATATAATATACAATATATATGAAATTAAAATTATATAAATTTATAAATTTATTATATATATTATATTATTATATATATATAATTATATAAAATTATATGAAACTAAAATTATATAAAATTATATAAATTATATAAAATTACATAAATATTTTGTGATATAAAAGAAATTTTATTACAAGTCAAAATTGACTCAACATCTGTTCATATTTCAAGAGTAAAATATTTAAAAGCTTAATCATATTAATTAGCCCTAACTATTTATATAAACAATTAATTCGAAATAAAATTTAATAGAATGCCCAATTTTATTGCCTTGAATTAAGTATTATGCAAGACAATATTTTTAGTTAATTTTAGTTATTTAAATTTATATTCATATTATAATTATATTTTTAGTTATTTTAGATTAAGCGATAATTGAAAATATATGCCAAGTGCATGCGATTCATTTGCTCGATCCGCAAACATTTTCCAGAAAATGCCGACGACACCGCCGGTGAGCCCGCGAAAAGGTCGGCGAAGATCGCGCGACGTTCCACCGTCGCCAACGGTGCTCAAACGTCGTCGTCTTGCCGCAAATGCACGTGAAAGACGACGTATGAACGGACTGAACGACGCCTTCGACAAGTTGCGCGAGGTCGTGCCGAGCCTTGGAACCGATCACAAGCTCAGCAAGTTCGAGACTCTACAGATGGCACAGAGCTACATAGCCGCCTTGTGCGATCTTCTGCAGAGGCACGATAGCAAGAGATAGAATGGAAAACGCAAGTACCATTATATATGTTTTTTATCCTCTGTTCGCTCGAATTTAATGTCATCGAAGATGAATATTTGATTACTTGAATCTGACCTTCAAGAAAAAAGTCTTAGTATAATCTAATCAATCTAATCTGTTCCTTTTTTATGAGAAAATCTGAATAAAATTTTTTAATAATTTTCTTAACTTTAAGAATAATTTTCTCCTAAGCTTCTAAACAGATAGATTAGACTATTGTTGAATTGTGAATTCCAGAATTGAAAAGCCAGTCATAGAAGTTTAATACGTTTTGTGAACAGCCAATGTTTTATGAATAGTTAATTAATTGTAGAAAGCGATAAATATGTAGTTACTAATCATTAATTTATTATATAGCTTTAGAATATAAATCAAAACGCACAGATTATATTTCAATCAATATCCAAAAATGTGACAAGCCATTTACGGCATATATTGTAATAAGACTGAAAATTGTATAGTTAGTACTATCATCATAAACAATAATTTGTGAGTGATTTTACTAATAACTATCATTATTATGCGATAAGTGGCGATAATTTAATTATATTTGTGTTTAATTATATTTTTAATATACAATACGATATGCTACAAATTTTTGCAAAAAGTATATATTTTTTATAATCTCTTATAATTTGGAATATTTCTAATTTTCATAAATAAAAACATCAAAAATAACTAGTTTTTTTTTTAGATAAATATGTGCGTCTGTATTTTATAATATATATTATATTTTAAGAAGACGAAACAGCTAAAGATCCAAAGAGTAAGCAACAGTTTAAAAATGTATTAGATTTAATTGTAAGATATATAACTAATATATATTCCTCTATTAATATTTCAATTTTACTAAAGCTTAAAAAATGTAATTTTTTAATTATTTTTCGAAGATATTAGACAAAATTAAACTATAATTTCTCTCTCTTATTATATTAGTTCTTATAAAAATATTTCTCTAGCTAAGGAAAGTTTTTATGTATAAGATTATTGTGCTATTCTCTTTGACGAGTCATAAAACTTGTAAATCGTTCATTGTAAATTTATTATTACTATTGTATCTAGTCAAGAGATTATTACGATTATCAACTTTAATAATATCTAAAACGCCAAAGAAATTTAAAAGGGCAAAGACATTGTAAAGAATAATGGCGAAAAATTGTATTCAAACTTATTATATAATCGACCAAAGATTTTATAAATAAATAAGAAGCGTTATAAATGTATTAAATAAGCAGATACGTCATCACATGTACCTCGTAAGACGATTGATTTATTAGATTTATAGAATACAGATAATCATAAGATGTTAATTGTAATAAATAACATGGTTTTGTATGATTTTGTACACTATTGTAAATAAAAAAACCTATGCAAGAAAAATCAGATTAAAATATAATTAATAATTGTCATTTTCTGCAAAATATCAGAATTTCTGCCATAATCAGATAAAAGATCTATGAGCAGTCGCCATCTTGCGTTATACATGGAAACTATCTGCGAAGAAGTTCAAAATACTTTAAACTTTTTTAGTGCAAAACATTCTTTATTCTACAATAATATAATTTTTTGCAATGATATAAATTCCATCACAGAGTAGTAACCGAATTTTATTTCGTCGCTAATAACGTAAAATAAATACTGTAAAATATCGATCAATAAAGTATTAAAAAAGAAAAAAATATAATTATAGATTAAAAAAAACATTTGCCGAATCTAATGTGATTAATAATGATATCGATCTGTGTGTTTAAAATTAAAAAAAAGAATTCAATTATAATAGATTTTATTTTATTTCATCAATTTTTTAAGCTACACGAATTGTATCTAATTAAGCAGAGTGAATCGCACGATGTCATACCGCATATTCTTCCGGTCATCTCGTGCATAAACGTCGATTTTCCGGTGCTGCACGCGGGCGCGTGACCGGCACACGCACTTGTTGCACACCTTTCCCTTTGAAAGTCCCCTCTCTCGCCCTTCCTTCCGGATACGAGCGATTCCCGCGCACTTGCCTCGAATATTCGCCTTCGTTATTTTCAGTTTTGTCATCGCGTACCGTCTTCGACAGCGGTTACTTTCTCTTTCGTATGTATAAGTCGCGGATGACACGTATTTATTGCAAAATGTGTCTTTTCGATACCGTGAGAATTCCTTGCCATTGCGTAGACGCTATCCCGTATATAATTTCGCTCTAATTATTTGCATTCTGTTTATTCCTCGATTGTGTGTGTCTGCTTTCTTCATTTCCGAAACGACTGAACAGACGAACGCAAATTAATATAACGTTGCGCATATGACAACCGACAGCTGTTGCTGATACTACTCGTACATTGTTCTCTCAGCAAATATATATTAAACTACATACATGTATATTATTTATTTATTATGTATTTGTATTTATTTATATTATTTATTTATTTACTATTTATTTATTTATTATTTATTTTATTTATTATTTATTTATTTATTTATTTATTTATTTATTTATTTATTTATTATTTATTATTTATTTATTTATTTATTTAACAGCTGTATATTCCATCAAAAAAGATTTATTTGTCATTGAATCAATGATGTATTATGTCATGAGTTATGTGTATAAAATTATAGCTAAATCAAATTCTCGAAATGTTTTCTTTCCAAAATAATTGCGATTACACACAAAGAAGAGAAAATTCGCAATTAATTCGTAATAATCTCTTTTTTCATTTAATATATATTTCTATTCATATTTATGTATTGTATATAAATTTAAAAAAAATAATCATTTCTAAAATATAACAATTTTTAAATTTTATTCTCATTTAATTTTCGTAACATTATCCCGTATATAATATTAATATAATATTAATATAATATTAATATAACATTATTATTATTAATATAATATTATATTATATTATATTAATTATTATTAATATAATATTATATAATATTAATATAATATTAATATTATTATTATTGCTTTTCAATATGATATTTGTCGTGATACTAATCTATGATATCAAAACGAAATAAAAATATAGACGCTTTTTTTTCTTAAATGGCCATCGAATTTCAGAAAGGGAATGTCACTCGTGCCCGGATGCTTGTCGAACAACGTCCGGGGGCGAGCGGACAACATTCCTATGACGATCTCGACGATGGCCCTAAGAAGGCGATAAGAGCCATCGAGAGAACGAGAAGGGAACGTGCGGACGTGAAACGACACAGTGAGACGTCAGGGTGATGTGCACGCGTGAGAATATGACGCGGCGTCCTTAAAAGGCGTTCGCTTATACTCTTTGATTGATCCGGTCGAATGGTCAATTAACGCACGTCGAATGCTCTCGTCGGATCGGTTATCGCGCTGGTGCCGGTGATCAGCTCGATGTGTCTTTATACGCGAACTCTCTCTCTCTCGAGTCCCGGGATCTCTTGGCTGTCCGTCTTTGACGCGAGGTAAAAAAAGATCTCGGGAATAAAAAGTAGGCAACGCATGTCAACAGATATCTAGTTCTTTGTATCGTCGATAAAAGGAGCTGAAATTTTTTCCTCCATTTTTGGGAAATGTAGCGCAAAGAGAGGATAATAACACAGGCCCGCGAGATTTTTCTTTTTAAGATGCAATAGTATAATAGATTTCCAACGTAATTTTGTGAGCTGAATTTGAATCTGGCCGCCGAATTTGCGTAGCACGTCACGTTTTTGAGTAATTTGTAATTGAATGGCTCAAAAATCGCTATTTTGGCCAATTTCATGAATTTATTGCGAGGAAACCAAATTTTTTGAAATATTTCTGCCAATGGCATCGTATAATACTCTCGCCTTTCAAATCCACTTTCGATCGTCGCACGATTTTTTTTCGCTGAGATATATAAGTATGACGTTGTAAGAAAATTTACGTTAAAGAAAATTTATATAGACATCAATATAGTAAATCCATGATGTTGAAAGTTGAAAAGATTGACATATGTCAGGTTCGGTTTTCCAAAAAAGTATTGTAAAGAAATATCTAACAGTTGTTACACATTTTGATAAATTTTTCTAAATTTTACGTCTTTTTATTGTGATTCTATTCGCCATATTGGATGCGTCATTTTTAATTTCAAAAGATGACAGAAGGTTTAAAAATGTATATTTTTATCCTAATTTTGATTCGTAGTGAAATAAAGAGGTGGCACGGTTGATTTAGAATGGCTTATTAGATCTCTATGCATGACCAGTCTTATGACTTGTATATCTGAGCGAAAAAAAATCGTGAGGCGGTAATCGAAAGTGGATTCGAAAGATGTAGGTGAGTACTATACGATGCCATTGACAGAAATATTTTAAAAAATTTGGTTTATTCACAATAAATTCATTAAATTGGCCAAAATAGCGATTTTTGGGCTATTCAACTACAAATAACTCAAAAACCTGACGTGCTACGCAAATTCGGCGGCCAGATTCGGATTCAGCGCACAAAATTACGTCAAAAATCACTATTGCATCTTAAAAAGAAATTTTGACCTCCTTTTTTGCAGGCCTGTGTAATTGAATAAATATTTATAGCGAGCGATTATCTCGTTAATAGAAATCTAGAAAAATGACAGACAAAAGTTTCTAAAGTTTCAACGTCCTAAATTCGATATTTCCGTTTCGACGTGAAAGATGAAGATGGAACGAGCTGTCCAAGTCAATCCGCGGAAAGAAGAGAACGGATCGAAATACAAAGTCTCTCGATTGAGCCCTTTCCTTCCGTTGGATTGGCAAAATCGAGAAGAAAAAAAGAATCCGTTTCAAGATACGTAGGCGGACAGCGGCACGTGCCCGACAATAGAGCTCGTTAGCGATTTCGTATGATTTCCTTTTTTGTTTTTTTCTCTAGATAGACGTCCACCTTCCTGTCGTAAATAAGGATCCCTTCCAGCACCAGATGTCCAGTAATTAGCGATCATTAATTACCTGAACGAACGGGCCAGCGTTCGGCGCAGTTACTGAGAGAAAAGGAGAAAGAGAGAGAGAGAGAGAGAGAGAGAGAGAGAGAGAGAGAAAGAGAAAGATCTTCTGCGATATATCTACTAAACGCTAAGGTAATTTAAACATAAAAGATTTTTCATCCTTGGGAGGAGGGGAATACATTATATATAATTAAGTCTAAAAACATATTCCGTGACAATTTAATATTTTTTATCAAATCTCATGCATCATTTCATTACGAAGTTAAAAAAAATAATTATATTTAAAAATATTATTTTAATATTAATTATATATAATTATATTACTACTATTAAAATTATATATATATATATATATATATATTTATTAATTAATTATTATACTATTATAATTT